GACGTCTGTAGTTGTGCATGGCGTCGCTTCGACAGGTCCATTCACTGGCCTTTTCCAGCACTTCTCTCACCGCCTGGCTGAAGCTGTTACGGACATTTGCGAAGCAATAGTCTTCAGCAAACACACCTCTCCTCTCTATGTGCAAAACCCTGGTTTCCATAGAAAGGCTTGGAATGTTATACTTGAAATCCTTGCTGCTGTTACTTGTCATCTTTGTCTCCTTGTTGAACATGTGTCCACCTTCAAACTCTTCGTCATCGTCTTGGAAAGTGACTCGGTATTGGTTATTGGATGTTTTGGCAAAAGCTCTTAATTCCTCGTCATCAGAAGATGAATCTCTCTTCTTCAGATATTCCTCGGCGAGACGATGTCCATTTCTAAATTTCCTTGAAACCGTTGCCTCGACATCGTCCATGTCTTCTACATCAATCGAAAAATGTTTTCGATTATGGCCCTCCTGCGGAACATCAAAGTTATGTATATTTACTTTGATGCGATTGTTCTAGAATGTATTTTAGACAAACGCCTCTGCACGTTATTGAACAAGTGTTTGCAGTTCTAGTCATATCTATTTCTTTACTCCTCAAATAAACGCAGTGCTGGGCACAGAAACATTCCTATATACATATTTATATAATATATTCGAGCGTATACACAGATGACCTACCTTCTTTGGAGCCAAAATTTTAAGCACACCGTCAGAAGACATGACTGAAATGACAGCCTCAAGCTCAATGTCTCCAGGAACAACGAAGCGCCGAAGGAACCGCTTGCTGGACTTGGAACCGTCTTCCTTCTTCTCCAAGTGACCTTCGACCACCAACTCTCGCTCGTTCACAGCCTTCACGCTGATCTCTCCAACGTCCATAAAGTCGTGAACATCAATGAAAACTGAAAAAGAAGAAAATACATGACAAAGGTTCATTCAGGCAATGAGTTCCATGATGTTTCAAATAACATTTCTTGACAGAGAAACAGATTATATAATTAGTCTATGTCTGTACCTTATAATGGCGTTCATCTTCCGAGGACGTCACAGCCTGAGTGTCTTCCCTCATATTTCGTGCTCGTAGTTTCCTGTAGGAAGTCATCTCGTCACCGCAGGACTTCTCTCCCCATCTGCTCAGGATTTCCCTAACGGCCTTCTGGAAATCCTCCCTTGTGTCTCGGAAGAAGTAATGGGAGAAGAAGTGTCCTTTCCTCGTGATAGGAAAAGACTTCTCTGTGAAGCTAGATAGAGAACCACTCGCCAAACGAGAGGACGTTCCCATAATTGCGTCTTCGGTGACGTTATACTTATTAGTTTCTTGAGACTCCCTGCCACTTTCTTGTCCAAAGCGTCTCAGTCTATTGCTGTCCTCGAAACTGCAATCAAGATAAGGCGTCTTTGTTCCCGACGTGAAATCTCGAGGAAATGACGAGTTTCCTCGGACTGAGACGTCATATACTCGTTCAGTCCATTTTGGTTTTCATTCTTGGTCTCAAGCAGACGTTTTTCGCAGGAAGTGAAGGTGATTTCGAGTGAATGATTTCTTTTGTGATGCGTTTTGCTTCAGTTTTAATGGAGTTTTCAGCAGTATTTGCCTCGACATTTCCTTCCTGCAAAACAATAACTTTATACAATATTTGCGCAGTGTATGACTTTTTTTTTTTTTTTTAATTCATTGGTGATACCTCCCAGCAAAAGATACATCAATAATAGAACTTAACTAGAACATACCTTAAACATCACAGTGACTGTGAGGATGCCATCTAATGACATGACAGAAGTGATTTTAGTAAACTGTGGAAGAGAGAAGCGGCGTCTGAAGGAGTGAGAGGTTTCGATGAGGTTCCTTCTTCCTTCTTCACCACAAGTCCCTCGATGACCAACTCCTTCTCATCAACGACCTTCGCTTGTACATCTCACTCATGAAATCATGAACGTCCATAATTATCTGGAAATAATAGGTAGCTTTTTATAACCTACTTTTGAAATGTTATTTGGGGAATCGTGGTAGTAATTTATTTAGTAATAATATTGATATTACTCAAAATGACACAAAAAAACAATGACAATAATGTCGACTAACCTTCATACAAGACTTGTCTGATGTGACGATAGCGGCCTGATTCTCTTCCCTCAGATCGCGAGACCGAAGCTGCCTGTAGCGTTCCAGGATATCGGTGTGGCGGAGGTCAGTGTCGTCCTCAAAGTTGACTTGATTGCACCTGCCCAACACCTGCCTGAGAGCGGCACTGAAGTCTCGGTGAGCGTCGAGGAAGAATGAGTCTTGGAAGAAGTTTCCTCTTTTGGTGATGAGCAAGAGTTCTTCTGGCGAATCTCTTGAATCCTTCTTGTTCCTTTCAAGGATTCGATAGCTTCTGCAGACTCTTCTGCAATTGTCTTGATGAAGTATTTGTATCTGTTGGGCTGGATTCTTTGGTTTCAGTCGTTTCTTCTAGGTTCAGCTGCCCGACACTATCGACGGCTTCCTCTTCATGGTACAATCTCTGGATAACTGCACGGAATTTGTGCAACTCTCAATGGCTGCCGACTGAGTCCTTTTGCTGTCGAGTGTTTCCTCAGGGATTGTTTGGTGATTAAAGTTCTCTTGAACTGCTGAGTCGTTCTCATACTTATTTTGCCAAGAAAATTGTGCAAGTTCCTCATCTATAGTTGGGACCTTTCTTGCACAGACACGGCATCCTCAGTAACATCGAAAATGGTTGAAGACTTTGATCTTTGAGCTTCTGAAGTATTCTGAGCCTCACAACAGTTTCCTGAGTCTTTCATGGAGTTTTTCAGATCCAAAATTTCAGGAAGATCGAGAATATCAATAGATTCCTGGGAATCTTCAAGATCAAGAATTTTCAACAGCTGAGCCTTTCACTTCATGAATATCAACAGACCCTGTGAGTCTTTCGCATCAGGAATGTCAATATCTCCTGTGAGTCTGTCAGATCAAGAATTTCAATAGATTCTGAGCCTTTCACTTCAACAATGTCAGCAGATTCCTGTGAGTTTTTCAGCTCAAGATTTTCAAAAGTTTCTTCTGAGTCTTTTAGATCAAGAATGTCAACAGAAGAGTTGAGAGTCTTCAAATGAAGGACATTTCGGAATCGTTTCATCTTCGGGAATGGCAGACAGAAGAGAATCCTGGGAGAAGTTCCAAAGTCACGAGAGGCAGACAAATTGCCAGACGTTTCAGTCATGGCGATCGAACTTCGGCGACACAGGAAGCCTCTGAAATTTCTGCAAACTCGGAGCAAGACTGCATTTCATCAGACACAAAAGTTGAGAATCAGCATCACTTCTGCAGGTACAATAGATTCTACGTTGCAATAGTTTTTCTTTGCTTTGATTTTCACTTTCTACAAACTCGAAATCAGTGTCATGACTCGATCTTGCTGCAGAATCAGTTGACAGAAGGAATTCTCGGGCTTTCTCTTCCACCGAGTCCATGCAGTCATGTGTGGCTTTGCTTTCTTTTTCACATTCCTCATGGAGGGAGATGGTTTCATCAGCTGGGAATAGCGAGCGTTGAACTTGAGAGGATTTTTGAACTTCCTCAACAGACCTGATCACTTTGTGTTCCTCCGGTTCTTCTGCCTGTTAAACAATTTAATATTAGCTTGAAATGTGTGTGAGTAAGGAGGGTGTGTGAGTCATAAAGTGTGTTGTGATGTGCATGTACACATTTTTCTTTTTATATTTTTAGTAACACATTTTCATCTTTGTAACATAGCATGTTTTATCTCAGATAATCCTTACATACCATTTTTGAAGCGCTGATTGTAAGAATGCCATCTGAAGACATGATGCACGTGATGGCTGTCATGTCAATATGCTCTGGCAAGGAGAAGCGGCGTCGGAAGGAGTAGGAGGACACGGATGAGCTTCCTTCTTCTCTCCTCTCCACACGACCCTCCACCACCACCTCCGTCTCGCCCGCCACCTTCACCTTCAGATCCCCGTTCATGAAGTCTTGGACGTCCAACACGATCTGTGAAAATTTATGTATATTAAACATAGCATAATGCTTACATCTGGGTATCATATTCGAATTAATAATGTTCACATGAAGAACCCACATGTAAACAGTTGCAGTAGATTGAAAAAATTGGGTTTAATTGATCTCCAAAAGACGCTTAAACATATTTATTCGTAAGAGTGATTCTACTTACCTTGTAACTAGTGTTGTCGGACGTGACGATAAAGACTTGGGTCTCTTCCTTCAATTCTCGGGATCGAAGCTGTCTGTAGCGGTCCAGGATATCGCTGTGACTAAGGCCAAGGAAGTCCTCACTGTGTGTCACTTCGCTGTCTTCGCTGACCCACTTCCTCAGGACCTCTCTGATGGCAGCGTCGAATTCTTGGCGGACATCGAGGAAGAAGAGTCCTGGACGAAGCTTCCCCTTCGAACGATGGGCAAGATTTCCTCGCCCAGTTTGATGGCTTCAGTCGAATCAGATTCTGATTGCACAGTTGCTTGTTCCTGTTGTTCAGAAACTGAATCATCATAAGAGCTTTTTCAACGACTGTCGATTCAAGAGTTTCAGCCAATCGCATGAGTTCATGATCCTGAATATTGGCAACGTCTCCACGAACAGAAGCAGTTGTAGACTCATCCACAGACGGATTTTGGCAGATCTTGGACTTCAAAACTTCCTTGGATTCAGCAGGAAATTCGAATTCTTTCTTCAGCTTTCTCGTCTTGTTCTCGTAAGAGTGTTTTCGTTCACACCCAAACTCCATCTGATCCACATTAACAAGATTCTCGTGAACAGAGATATTTTTCTCCGTCGTGGACGAAACTGCTTCGGGTGTTGAGTCTTGAGCTGTTGATGATTCCTTCCTTTCTTCGGTCGTGGAGAAGTTAACGCGTGTGTTTTGCTGTGGTTCTCTGCCTGAAAGAAAAGAAAGCGTCATACTCATTTCTACGCATGCATAGACTAACTCAATGTTACATTGCAGTGTGATTAGCGTTCTAGGTCTATATATTTATTTTTTAAACATGATGTGTAATGCAAAGATACAGGTCTATTATCTTAACATAAAAGTTATTTACCGTTTTAAGAACAGTTATTGTGAGGATGCCATCCGAAGACATGACAGAAGTGATGCGTGTCATGTCAGTGCTGTGAGGCAGGGAAAAGCGGCGGCTGAAGGACCGTGTCGAGACGGACGACCCTCCTTCCTCCTCCTCCGCGCGCCCTTCCACCACCAGC